ATGGATTGAAAGGTGCTTAAGCAGAGTACCGTGTTGAGGTTCTTTGAAAGCCCCACCGGGACAACAGACTGACAGCACGCAACGGCGCACCCCACCCTTTCAAAGAGCCCGTGGGTCAGTTCGAGGCTTGAGCTGCCCTTTTCCCCAGCAGCGGAGAGCCCGTAAACCCTCTGAAAGCAGAGCTGCTCCGTGTGCCTTCCTGAGTGAGGGGCCTGCTCCTCCCTGGATTGCAGGGCATCTCCGAAGTAGCCATCAGAGCGCACCCTACTTGGCACCACAGGCCGGTGTGCTGTGGAGCTGCGGGCATGGACTCTGTGCTACAATGAGGAACGGATCCGAAGGAGCCCCCCTTGGGAGGGAGGGAGGGTGGCCAGGAGAGGCTATGGTGCAGGCGGCTCTGGCCAGAACACACTGCTGGGCACTAGGGCTGGCCACTGGCTGGGGGAGCCTCGAGGGCCCATTTCTAACCGTGCTCCTCTGCTGCAGCCTGGCCAACATCCCCCTGACCCCAGAGACGCAGAGGGACCAGGAGCGACGGATCCGCAGGGAGATCGCCAACAGCAACGAGCGAAGGCGCATGCAGAGCATCAATGCGGGGTTTCAGTCCCTAAAAACACTCATCCCACACACAGACGGGGAGAAGCTCAGCAAGGTGAGGGGCTAAATCTCCTCACTGATTGGAGGCGGCTGCAAAGCCACAGTAGTGGTGCCGGCAGGGGGTCAAGCAAGTCCCTGCCAGGCCCTGATGGCAGGTGGGGCCCACTCACCAGGACTGGGGAGCAAAGGCCTTGGGGCATCATGCTTAGGAAAAAATGGGGGGGGGGGGCGATGTGCTGAAGAGCCTCTGCAGGTTGAATGCTGCAGCTGAAAGGGGAGAAAAGGGGGGGCTGCTCCCTGGGGAACAGTGGGGTGCAACCAGCTGCTGAAAGCCATGGCAAGCCGGGGCCTCTGGGAACAGAGCACGGGAGGGGTTTCCCCAGGGGAAGCTGGCTGAGCAGGGAATAAGGGGGCTGGCTGCCTTGTTTGGGGGGGGGGGTGCCAGGTCTACCCCCTCAGGTGTTCTCTACTTGCCTCTTCCTTGGTCAGGCAGCGATCCTGCAGCAGACGGCGGAGTACATTTTTTCTCTGGAGCAGGAGAAGACGCGGCTGCTGCAGCAGAACGCTCAGCTCAAGCGCTTCATCCAGGTGGGCCCCAGGGAGGCCTTGGCTGGGAGGGGGGTCTTTTCCCCCTGGCCCCTACAGCCCCCCTCAATCTGGGCCTTCTTGGCAGGAGTTCAGCGGATCCTCCCCGAAGCGGCGGCGAGCAGAGGACAAGGACGAAGGCATCGGATCACCGGACATCTGGGAGGACGAGAAGGCTGAGGACCTGCGCCGGGAGATGATCGAGCTCCGGCAGCAGCTGGATAAGGAGCGCTCGGTCCGGATGATGCTGGAGGAGCAGGTGTGCCCTGCGGGTCTGGAGGCAGCTTGGGGGGGCATTTTCTGGGCAGTGTGCCAGCAAACAAATGCCCCTGTGGGCAGACAGGGCCAGGGCGGGTAGCCAGAGGGCCCTCTTGTGCCCAAGCGTCCTTTGCCCATTGGGGAGGGTGACCGGGTCTTTCTCTGGCTGGCTGATAGGTACGCTCTTTGGAGGCCCACTTGTACCCGGAGAAGTTGAAGGTGATTGCCCAACAGGTGCAGCTCCAGCAGCAGGAACAGGTGAGGCTCCAGTGCCCAGAAGCACCTGAGCAGCAGAGCTTTGGCAGCGCACGGCCCCAGTCAGTCCCCCTTTGCAAACAGGGCCATGGACAGCAGGAAGCCGCAGCGCTGCCCCAACCGTCCCCAGCAGATACTCCTTGGGAGGGTGGCGTATCTTGGGTGAGGAAAACAAAGTGGGGATACCCAGATAAGATGGCTGTGCCCAAAAGCCCTGAGGAGTTGAACACCCACCTTGTTGGTCCTGAAGCATCTTTGGTGGCTTCTGCCCCATCCACTGATACACACTTCTAGATTTTTGTGGCCCTGGGAAGGAGGGGCTTCATCCTTGGGGCTCCAAGTGTGGTTCAGGGCTGTTGGGGTCAGGTGTTGAGGAGAAAAGCTGGAATGAGAGGGCTCTCCAATCCACCGGGGCATGACAGGGCTTGAGCTGTCCAAGGGCCTTCCAGCTGCTGCCTCCCCCGTGTCTCTGTCTCAGGCCCAGGGCGGCGTCTGGTACGGGAGCCCTGCAGTTGTGTGCTGTGTGCCAGGTGTCTTTCTCTCCTCTCACCAGCTCCTGCCTGCTCACGGCCCTCCGGCACCCACCCAGCACCCAACGGTGATTGTGCCTGCACCACCTCCACCTTCACACCATGTCACCGTGGTAACCATGGGGCCCTCCTCAGTGATCAACACTATCTCAACGTCCAGGCAGAACCTGGACACGATCGTTCAGGTGAGCGCACGACGCAGCAGTTCCTGACCTGGAGAAAGGCGGGGGGGGGGGGGCTTGGCCTCCCTCAGAGAGGCTGGGAAGTGGGCCCCTCCCTGGGCATGGAACAGGCCCTGGCAGATGCCCCCACAAGTAGCTACCAACCTCAGTGTGCAGCTCTGCTTCAGCGCTCCCCGAGAAAATTGCCCTTGCTGCACCCCACCTCCTGGCCTGGCTACACTTGAGAGGAAGGCCTCGGGGGAAATTCCCTTTGAAGCTGGCATTCGTCCCAGTGGCAGCTCAGGGCCAGGCCCTTGCCTGTCTCGTTTAGGATCTGCAGCCTCGTTCTGACCAGTCCTGGCACACCGTTGTGCCCCTGATGGTTCCTCCAGGCTGGGTAGAAAAATGGGCACTATCCTCTTGGCCTCTACGGGGGGCGGATACGTCCACCAAGAAGGTCCTTGGCTTGCCCCAAGGAACCGGCAGCCAATCCCAGGGCAGGAAGGGCCCAGCAGAAGGCTGCCGGTCAGTCCTTGGGCAGAGAGCCCACTGGCATTTACTGTGCCGTCTTCCCCCAGGCCATCCAGCACATTGAGGGGACTCAGGAAAAACAGCTGCTGGAGGAGGAAGAGCAGCGCCGGGGGGCAGTCATTGTGACCCCAGCCCGAGCCAGCCTGGACCCCTCAAACTCGGACACGGCCTCTGACCTGGAGGCGGAGGACGACGATTCCATGGAACACAGCAAGGCCCGGATGCCCTGACCTCTGCCTGGCAGCGGGAGGGTGAGCAGGGTGGGGGCGAGGGGACTTCAGGAAATGTGCTGAAATTTTTACAAAATACCACAACATTTGGGTCTATTTTGTGACCTTCCAATACTGTAAATGAGAGGAGCGTTAGGACGGGGGTAAGCTGGACATCGGGCTCTCCAGCTTGAAGCAGCTGGGGGAGGGTCGGCAAGCTGCGAGCGGCCAGGCTCTTCCTGGACACGGCTAGGCAGTCCGTGACTCCTGGCTCAACGGATATGGGTTTTCTCGGGCCCCTCTTCGGCCTTGCTGCTGGTCCTTGGGGGGGCCGGGGGGGGCCTCCGAGGCCTTCTGAAAGCTCCAGGAGAAGGCTGGCGGTGGTAGCCTTGGGGTTGTCTCTGCCTCACTGGTCCTCCTCATGTACCTCTTGGTGCAGGGAGACCCCTGGGGCCCCTCCATTCTCGGGGCTGGTTCAGGCTTGGAGCCTTTTCAGAGCCTGGGAAAGAGCATTGACCTCGGCCTCTCCCCTGGGTGGTTTCGTTCTTGGAAGCACTTAAATCCGTTCGGTGGGTTGACCAGGTCCGTGAAGAGCGGTCCTGCTCTGTGGCGGTTGCTGTCGTTGCATTCTGTGCTCCCCCCCATTCCCCCCGCCCCTGAGATCTTGGCCAGGGCTTTTTCGTGCTGGTTGCTTTTGGTAGGTTCCCCCCAGCCACAGCTGTTCTTTTGTTCTTTCATATTTTTATATGGGTTTCTTTTTGTTCTTTTTTTTACAAGTTTTGGGTCTTTGTGTTCATTGAGATGCTATTATATTTTGTTAAGAAAGTGGAAAAATGAGGCTTGTGCCTTTGTAAAGAAACACAATAAAGTTTGTACTTTGTTTTTTATGTCTTGTTTAGTTTTGCTGAGTTGGGGGACAGAGGCCAGAAATTGTGGGAGGGGCTTCAACTCTGCATACCAGAAGAAAAATAAGGTCCTCTATAAGCACTGCAGACCATTAGCAAAGGTTGCTGTCCCCAGGCCAGGAACCACATCATCCCCTTCTCAATGTTCTGGAATTTAGTTCCCAGGGCCTGCCTTCACTTCCCTTGCTTGCAGTTTCTGTGGTGCCCAGCAGAGGGAGCTTGTGCTTGCCCCTCCCCTTTGTGGACCAAGAGGATGGGGGCAGGATGGATTTTGTCCCCCTGGCCTAAAGCGCAGTTGCATCCAGTGGCCCTGGCGTCAGTTAGTCCCTCCCCACTTTCCCTCGGGCAGGAGCACCCCGGGAGTTTGCGGGTGGCTAATTACAGAGGTGGGGTGCAGCCAAAAGCAGAAACATGGAAACCACCTGGGCTTCAATCTTTGGTGCAGCTTGGTCTTCCCGTGCCTTTTCTGGAAGGTTGCTTGGCAACTTTTTGGCATGGGTTGCTAGGGCCCAGATCCAGCATTATGCTGCCCCCTGCAGGCACACTTTGCCGAGGTCTCTTGTGACAAAGCCGTGCCCTTTGTCTTGTGCCCACCAATTTGCTTTTCTTGCCCCGAATGGCTACCAACTTCATACACCACCACCCTTTGAGGCATTTTGCAGGCTGTGGGGGGCTGCCCAGCTCCTCCATGGCCATTCAAGTCACCTAGAATGCTGTACCAAGACAGGATGGTGTGGTTGGACTGCTGCTCCTGCTGAGGCCGTGGGCAGGAAGAGCTGGTCTCTGCCCCCCCCCCCCCCCCCGCGCACACACACACACTGCCCGTCCTCTGGGACCTTGGCTCCAGGCTCAGCCCTGGGCAGCAGCTGCCGTAACGCCCCTCCTCTTCCCCCCTTAGTGGCTGCCTCTGAAGGGGGACTGAGGAGGTTGGTGAAGAGACCGGGTGGGGAGGGGCCTCCAGTAGTCCAGCACCGGCACCATTGCCTGCGTGGGCCCTGCGGCCAAGCGGCCACCTGCTTCTCCAGAGCCTGCCCGGGTATAAATAGTGCGGAGGAAGGGGAGAAGGTTCCTGGCAGCCAGTATGGCAGCGCTGAGGCTCTTCTGTTTCTGCCTGGCACCAGTTGTGCTCTTCGGGGCGGCAGGTAGGGTCCCTTGTCCGAAGGCTGAGAACTCATGGGGAGGGCCAACTTGCCAGGCCCATTGCAGGCAGCATGGGGGGGTGGGGGGTGGCAGCCTTGGGGCCCCTTGGGAGGGCAGTCGTGAGGCTGGGGGGGAGCCAGAGGAAGAACAGCTAGGCCGGGAGGTCTGTAGGTGCCATGCTGGGAACACCCTGCTCCTCTCCTCTGCGCTTGGAGACCTATTACCCCCGGGATCCCCTCCGTCTTAAGGGCCCCGGGGCTGCCCCTCCCACCTGGGTTTTCCGCTGCCTGTTTGGGGCCCCTGGGCAGAACTATGTGGCATCCGACGCCTTCCCCTTGGGTGCCCTTGAGTTAATTTGGTTCTGCTGGCTGGGCGATGCCTCCCAGCTGCCTCCTAAGCTAAGTATGGAAACAGGCATGTAACTGGAGCCCTGAAGCCTCTGGAGCCCTCCCGCCTTCCCTGTTGCCCTCATCAGCTCAGCTGCTGCCTTCTCACCCTGTCACAGGCGCTGTGGACCAGCTGCGGCCTTTTAAGGCCATATTTTATCATTCCCAGTACTAAAGGGAGATGGACAGCCAGGGCCAAGGGCTCCTTTCCTCCTCCCTCCCTTTCCCTCCCTTCCTTCCCAGCAGCAGGGCACCCCTGGGGGTCTGGGAACAAGGGGGCTTAGCCCCCTTTTCCAGCTTCCACAATGCCCCTCCCCAGAAAGGGCGAGGGGGAATCTCTCCCGACTCTGGATGGGGGCACACGGTAACCAAGGATGGGCTCTAACTGGACAGTGCTGGTCTAGCATGATGCTGGGGGCGGGGGGGGAGGGGAGAAGAGGGTTCTGTGACCTGGAAATCATTTTTGGGATGCGTTGAGGGGTTGCTCACAGGGCTTTAGCTGCATCCCAGTACTGGACGAAGGTCAGAATTAACGCCATAGACAATTAATGTGCCTGGGGAGGTCCAGGAGAAAAGTGTTGTGTCTCTGAGAGTTCATGGGGAAGGCGAAAGGCCACCTGGCTGCCCAAATACTTGTTGACCAGGCGCTTCCCGCCTGGCTCTCACCAGGATCTCCAGGCGGAGTACGAAGCACTTCTGCTCCCCCTGCTGCGCTGAACCAATTGGGGGGGGGCACTTGCTTTTCTTGGCAGTCTCACCAGCTGTGTGTTTCCTGTGGTTGGCGTCAGTCCTCGGGCTGGCTGGCTGCACAGCAGGAAGCGCCCACTGGAGCTCTGGGCAGGAGGCTGGGTGAGGGGGCAGGCTGGCTCTCCTTAGAGATCCTCACTCAGCCCGGCCACTTGCCGGGGACCCTGCTTGGCCCTATGGAACTCCAAACAACCGAGCAGCAGCTGGGAAGGCGGTGTGTGCGTGCATGCGTGTGGAGGTGGGGCAGCACTTCTGGCTCCCCACAACAGTACACTGGGGGCTTTGCCTGACCCTTCCTGTTGCGCACCCATCCAGAACAGGCACCGGGGGGGGGGGCAAGAAACTGCCCCCTTTCCAAAGGCCAGAAAAGCAGGCGCGTCTCCCTCTTTTCTCCGGAGTTGCAAAGGAAAACCGAAATGACGCTTCTTTGCCCTTTGGCATGCCCGTCATGCTCTTCTCAATCTGGCCACCAGAGGGCACCCTTGAGACGGGCTGGCTGGGCTGCTCGGCCGGGCGGCTTTAGGCAGTGGAAGACCAGAGGGCTCAGCTGAGGGAGGGTCCCTTGGGGGCAATGGCTTGCTCAGGGGAAAGGTCGAAAGGATCCCCCTTGGCGCGAGGCCCCTTCTACCTGGCTGCTTCTCCCCTTGGGGCGCCCCCCACGTCGCTTGGCCAGGCTGCCCTGTCCACCATGTGATTTGCTCAGCCCTGCCTGGCGCTTGCCTGTCCCTCGGGGTCATGTCCTGCGACCGGCACCCTTAAGGCTGAGGGCAGCTGTGGCCCTCAGCCTGAGCGGCCATGACGTTGCTTGGACTCGGGCGGCCAGCACGGATCCGGCCTTGCCCTCCCAGGGCAGCAGGCGGAGCTTTTGCTGCAGGTCAAGGGGGGGGGCTCCAATTCCACGCTGCCCCCCCCCCCCAGCATCCCTGAAGTGCCCCTGAGGCTAAGCGGGGAGCCAGCATCGGTCCCTCCTTGGGACGGGCTCTTGCCTTTGTGCCTGCCGCCTTGCCTAAGGCCCGCAGCCAAGGACCCTGCAGGTGGTGTCAGGTGAGGCTTGCATTCAAGGGCCAGCTGGCTGCAATGGGCTACAGTCCCCCTGCCACATCATTTCTGGGGCAGATGTATCTCTCCCCCTCCCTGCTCCGGGTACTCAGGGAGGGGAGCCTGCCCAGCCCCCAGCAGGAAGCCCTGCCTCTCCCGGGTAACAGTGGCTCCCTTGGCCCTCTGCCCAACCCTCAGGGGCGGCCGGGGCCCTGGCAGGCTCTCCTCCCTCACCTTCCCCACCTCAAAGTAAGCCTTGTGGGCTCATTGCAGCCTGCCATGTCTGCAAATCCATGTTTGCGGCTGGCAGGCGCAGGTGGGAGGAAAGGAGTTTCTTGGCTCTGGGCTTCACCCAAGAGTGACTTTGCCCATTGCCCCTTCCAGGGCTGGGGGGTATTTTTAGCGCAACGAGGAAGCTGCTGGTGCACCTTCGGCCCCTTTGCCATACTGTGGTCCGCCCTCCCGGTCGTCTGCAGATCAGCTTGGAGGTTGCTTGCATAAGCCCGGGGGGCTGCCTACCCCAGCTCTTCAGCCTCTTCCTGTAGCGTTTTGGGCTCCTCTGCTGGGTGACCACAGACCCTGTCTAGCTTTTTGGCACAAGAGGCAAGGCAGGACTGGGTCCTGCTCAGGGGAAGCAGGTTGCCCAGCTAGAGAGGATCTTGAGCCGTGGTGGCGTAGTGCTCAGAGTGCAGTACTGCAGGCTACTTCTGCAATTTGGCTCACCAGGCTCAAGGTTGACAGCCTCCCATCCTTCCCAGGTGGGTAAAATGAGGATCCAGCTTGTTGGGGGCAAGAGTTTGCTTAGAGAAGGCTTTGAAGCACTTTGAAGGAGTATATTTGCTATTGCTATCCCGTTGGGAGATGGAGAAGCCACAGTCAAAAGCCCGAAGTGCCCCACTTCCTTCCAGGCAGCAAAACACCCAGCCCCCCCCCCCCCCGGATCTTTTCCTCCCAGGAAGCCCTGAGCACAAGGACCAACGCCCCTCGCCTGCCCCTGCTGGGCCCCACTTGGCTTTTTAATGCACTTCAACACCACCTGGCTGTAAGGCCCCTCCTCTTTGGGTTCTCATGCCTTCCTTGCAAGTAGCACCTGGCTGTCTACCTGAGGGTCAGGTGTGGCGGGGGGGGGGAGATTATGCCTCGAGGTGAAACTGTTTCTGTTGGAACCATCATAGAGGGAGTCCCTGCCTGCCAGGCAAAGGGCGAGGGACAGTGGGAAGCCCAGGCAGGGCATCTGAGCTTCCCTCCTGGGCGACTGGCCAACCCCTCGTCAGCTGGCAGGCCTGGCTCAGAGCCCACAAAGCAGCAGTGACAGCAACATCTCTTTGCCCCTCAGCCAGTTGGCATCACCTTTGGGGATCCTCTTCTCCAGGAGCAATGGAGGAGAGTCCCCCTGGCATCTTTCTGCTTGTAGATCCAGCAATTCCTCCTGTCGAATAGTGCCACAATCTGGAGGGAGGGGTTTCTTAAGCAGGCCCTGACACTTGAGAAGAAAGCCCCCTCCCACTACCCCGGGGGGGGGGGGGGAGGGAAATAAAAGTCCATTCCAGAGCTGCCTTCTCTACTTGCATGGCAGAGAAAGGGCTTTGCCAAGAGGGTTGCTCTTTAGCCTGTGCCAGCCCCGCTAGTCTTCAGATGGTTGGGATTTCTTCACTGCAGTTCTGCATGCCAACGATCTGGACAGGCAAAACTCTCCTTGACATCCCTGCAGTGCCCCTTTTTATTCTGTTCGGATTTTTAATAGAAGACAGTCAGGAAGGCGGTTAGGTGGGAAAAGGTGGCAGCGTATTTACTGGCCAGAGCCCAGGGGGGTGACTTCAAGGGGGCAAAGGCCCCTGAAAGGACTCTTAGGGATGCTCCCACTGTCCATCTGTCTCTGTCTTGCTAGACTGAAAGGGACAGTCACAGTGCTGGCTAGGAGGCTGGTTAAGGGCAACATGTGTTATCCAAGAGGGACGCCCACCTTCTCCAGCCCACCCTGGCACCTGGGACCAGGCCAGGCAAGCTAGATTCTAAATCTGCTGGTCAGGTCAGGACTGAAAATGGATTTAGAAGAGCCTCAAAATGTGCCTTTTCAGCCTCCTTTGAGTCCAGTTCCGCTTTTCATGCAGAAGCACATTTGCAATTTGAGGCAAAGATGAAACTGACTGATCGTGTTCTAACTATCTAGAACTGCAAGTTTCTGCCCTGGAGGGCGCAGAAGACTCTGCCAACTTTGCTGAAGGTGGCTTCTTGCCTGGAGACCCAAGTCTAGTGAAGAAGCAGAGGCTGCTCAATGGACACGTTGCTGGGACAGGAATCCCCCTCCAGTTCTCAGGCAACCCAGAGAAGTCTCAGGATGATGGCTCCACCAGTACAGGCCCCGCCGTGGACAGCACAGAAAGGGCCCGTGTGGACATGAATGGAGCGGGCGTGGCTGAGCTTGGGGAGGTCCTTGGCCGAGAACAGGGGATGGCTGGTCACGAAGAAGGTGGAACTAGCTCAGGGGAGCTGGAGCAGGTTTCTACCCATAGGGCAGAGGGATTGCAGGAGGAAGAAGAGGTTCCACCGAAGACGGAGGCTCCTGTTGAGGAAGGTGCCCAAGGGGTTCTCCCAGGACGAAACCAAGATATTTCTCAGGATCTTCTCCACTCTCTTGAGGCACAGCTGGATGATAACTTTACCAATTCCCCTGATGTGGATAAGAATTTGGAAGGCAGCTTTGGGGAAGGGCACTTGGGCAACCCTTCAGCAAGAGAGAGACCCAGGGAGACGTCCAGCGCTGGTCTGCAGGATGGGGGTGAATCAGGAGAGGCAGAGGAGGCAGCACAGGAAGGAGCTACGAAGGAACTGGCAGGGGGTCCCGAAGACGCTGATGGCCAAGGAAGAGCTGCAGTGGCCGAAGGTGGAGATGCCACCCCACTTCCCATGGAAGGACTGGGGTTTGGCGAAGGGCAGCCAGGTGGCAATGGGGTAGAAGGTGCAACAGCTTCTGAAGTGAAGGTTCCACCAGCAGAGAGAAAGCAACCCAGAGGTGATATCTGCACAGCAGTGGAGGCAGAGGTGGAGTGGGAGGGCCAGGGAGAGGGGCTGCCAAGGGGAAGGGGAGAATGAGACCTTCCGGGGTCTCTTTCCAAAGGGGGCAGCCCAGAAGGTGGCCTGTGTGGAGCAGCAGAATGGGCCCTCTGTCAGGGAGGAAGTAGAGCTGCCACCCAGCCAGCCAGGCACAGCCACTCCCAGCAGAGACCAGGCATTTTTGGCCAGGAGACCACTTGGGCAGGAGGCAGAAAAGCCGACTCGGCCATTCACTCCTCTTTCTAGGCCAAATCTTCCCAGGCCAAGGGAGGCACCGGGGGGGGGGAGACACCTTGATCTGGACTCCCAAGGCAGCCTCTGGATTGCAAGGCCCACCCCTTGTCCTCATCCCCCCCCCATCCCTATTCCTTTCACCTGGGCTCGGTGCTCTTTCAGCTCAGGCTGGCAAAGCCTGGAGGGTCCCTCGGAGCAGAGTCTGCTCTGGAAAGGATCCTCACGGTCTGGTTCTGTATTCCTACCTCTGCCGGATTCCAAGTCCATGACACCTGAGCCATCCTGGCTCTTGTTAAGCCACAGGTGTATCCCCAACGTCTTTAGGTCCTGGACTAGAGATGACGAATATACTCTTTCTAAGTGATGGGATGGAAGGAACTGCCCTCAGGCAAGAATTCCTCCCTTTGTTGCTGTTTTTTAATCACAAGCAGCAAAATGGCACAAGCTCTCTAGGCAAGCGGTTCCACAGAAGAAACGGGGCTGCAGTTTAGAGGCTGAAAAGGATTTCATTTGACAGGCGCGTTGTCTAAAGGAGGCTGCACAGCCCAGGCAGCTCATTTTTTTCAGCTCTGAGCTGTGCCGTTCCTTTCCATGGGCTTCTGCCCTACCTTGCCCAGATGAAGCAGCCACTGATTTTGTCCACTGGTGGGTTTGGTCAAACCAGAATGCAAGGCAGCCTGTCCTGAGCGGCGGGGGGGGGGGGGGGGGGCGGGGGGGGGGTGGGGGGGGGGGGGG